GCTGTCCGCCGGCGCTCGGACCCCGTATCCTGGCTGTGGCGTTGGCGCGGCCGGAACGCGAGCGGCCGGGCTGGGAACCGCTTCCGGCGCCAGGGCGAAAGGGCCTTCGGGAGTTGTAGTCCGCCGGCGGCGTGGTTCCCGCTTCCGGCCCCGCGTGTCCGGGGCGCGCGTGGGCGGGGTCCGCTGGCGCCTCGCGGTGCGGTGCGGCGGGGGCAGGCCCCGCTTTGGGTGGGAGGGAGGTCGCGCGGAGGGGAGCGCGGGGTTGGCAGTGGCCGCGGCCCGCTGTGACCCGTCCGCCCCCCTAGGGAGCAGGCCCGGCTGCGGGCCCGCGTCGTCGACCGGGACACGGAGGCGTGGCAGCGGGACCCCGGCTTCTCGGGGCTGCGGAGGGTCGGGGGCGCCGACGTGTCCTTCGTGAAAGGGGACAGCGCCAGCGCCTGCGCGTCCCTGGTGGTGCTCAGCTTCCCCGAGCTCCAGGTAACCGGGCGGCGCAGCCCCAGGGCCCGGACCCTCGCCGGCCCGGCCCGGCGTGGCGTGGCCGGGGGCCTCTGAGTGGCAGAGAGACGAAGGGCTTCCTCCGATGGTCAAGGCTCCACCTCCTGGTCTTTGCCTGCGTCTGGCGTGGTCATGGCTCCTCACCCCGGAGGCGGCGGCAGCACACCCCTGGGTGCCCCCCCTGGGAAGGACCCCTGCCTTCCCCTCACGCCCACCAGCATCCGTCCCCTGGGCACAGCCCCCTGCCCTGCAGAGCGCTGTCCCTGGAAAGCCAGGGGTTACCAGGGGTCGGGCCACGTGGTGAATGCCCTGCGGCCCTAACCCTGCGGGCTCAGCGCCCAGCACCGGCGCCCGCCCTCCCCCTGCGCGGCCACGCGTGTCTGGCTGCCCCGTCTTTCCCCAGCTTTGCTCTTCCATCACGTGGCCGACGCCTGCCCACCCCCCACCGCCCGGTGTGGGCCAGGAGCCCCCCTCTCGGTTCCCTCCCCGGTCAGCTCGGGGTGCCAGCGTGGTCAGTGGTGAGGGCCTCGGCCAGGTGGCCCTGTCAGCTTCGTGCTGTGGCCTCGCGTGACCTGGTCACCTCCCCAAGGGCCCCGTCACAGTGCCGTCACCGTGGGTTAGCAGGCCAGCGTGTGGATTTGGAGCGGACACGGGCGCTCAGACCGGAGCCGTCGGAGTCCCCTTGGCCGCACCGGCAGGAGCCACGTCGGCACCTCCAGTGGCCTTGGCACCAGCCGCACCCCCGCGCAGCCGGCCTCGAGTCTTGTGCACACGGGTGCGTGCGCCGGGCCTCTGCTGCCCCCGGCTGCGTGCCCCCTCATCCATCACGGCCTGCTCCTGAGACAGCAGGACACCCCCGCCCCCGCCCGGCTCTGAGCTCTGCGTGGAAGGACCCCTCCCATGCAGTCAGCCCGAATGTGCAGGGCCCCTACCTTGGGGGAGGAGCCGCCCGGCTGTGGGCGGGCCCCAGCGCTGCCCCTCCCCCAGGCCCGGCCTTGGCCTCCCTCCTTGTTCTAGCTCGGAGGTGACAGTGGTGTTAACGCCCAGCTGACAGGCTCTGCTCGGGAGTAGGTCACGCGTGGAGGCAGTGAGCCCTCCGTGAGCGCCAAACCCACTGAGCTACACACCTGGAGCCGCGATGTCCGTGGAGTCCACGGTGCACTTCAGTAAAGCTCTTAGAAACTGTGCGTGGGCAGGGCCGGCATTGTGGCAAAGCCAGTGAAGCCGCTGCCCCTGGCGCTGGCGTCCCACATGGGTGCCTTTTCGAGTCCTGGCTGCTCCGCTTCCAATCCAGCTCTCTGCTAATTTTCTGGAAAAAGCAGTAGAAGATGGCCCACATCCTTGGGCCCGTGCAGCCCACATGGGAGACCTGGAGGAAGCTCCTGGCTTCGGGCTGGCCCAGCTCTGGTCATTGCAGCCCTCTGGGGAGTGAACCAGCAGGTGGAAGACCTCTCTCTCTGTCTCTCCCTCTCTCCGTAGCTCTTCCAAGTGAAATAAAATAAATCTTAAAGCAGGAGCGAACGCACAGACATACTTCTGGAAAGCAGCTCCGCGTTCTGTCTCAGGCCAGGCGAGCTCCAGGCCCTCGGCCTGCTGGTGGCGCCCAGGGACGGCGCCCAGAGTTGAGTGCGGCAGCTGAGCTGAGTTCAGCGCCCCCTGGCCCCCACACACACTCCCAGGCTTGGGTGGCACCGCCTCCCAGCCCTGGCGCCCACGCCGCCGGACGTGCAAATGTCCTGAAAAATTGAAAAGAAAACGTTGCGTGCCTAGATAGCTTCCAGTGACGCAGCTGTTGCTGATTTTGTCATGTGTGCGTGTGCATGCGTGTGTCCAGGGTGGTGGCAGCGCCCCCCCCAGCCATCAGCTCCTGAGAGTGACATTGTCCTATGTAACGGCAGTGTCGGAGTCGCACCTGTGTAGTAAAGCCATCAGCCGCCCCCCGCGGCACATGTCCTCACGATGCGTTCCTGCCGTGTCTGGGAGCCCCGTGGTGGCGGGGCTGCTGGGGCTGGGTCGGGCTCCAGAGGTGTGGAGCCGGCTGGGCCCAGGGATCCGGCTGGGCTGCGGGGGTCCGGCCCGTCTCCTGCCAGTCCCCAGGCGTGGGCGATGGGGTTTCCCTCCTCTCCTCGTTGGCCTCTCAGGCCGGGAGCATTAGTAGCCACCGTCACCTGTGGGGACTCCGGCCGCACCCAAGCCCCACGCGTGTCCTGCGCACAGTGCTCCACCTGCCGTGTTCACCGTGAACCCGGATTGCCCTGTCTGCCGTTGGATCGGACCCTCCGCACAGGGGGCGTCGGCACATGGGATACGTTCCCCACTGAGTCGTTGGCAGCGTGTTTGGAACTCCAGGCCGGTACGGGGGCAGCTCAGGTGAGCCGCCTGCCTGTCCTCAGGGGCGTCCAGCTGCTGACCAGGTCCCACAGGAGCCGTGCGAGTTGTGATTTGAAAGCCAAGAGATTGGGGCAACTCAGTAACGGAAATGTGGGAACATGGAAGGTTCTGGAGAACGTGGCTCCACATTCGGGCAGCCGGACCCTGATGCGAACCCTGGGGTTGGAGCCCCGGGCTCTGCGCAGGTCCCTCTTCGTGCTGCAAGCGGCCAGTGCCGGGGCCTCCCTCGTCCCTGACGCTGTGGCTGAGGCTCTGCCAGAGAGGCCCTGGGAAGGACCCGCCCTGCTGAGACCTCTCGGGTCATCCCGGCCAACCCCACGGCCGCCTCTGCCCCTCCACTGCCCCCTGTCTGCACAAGGCCTCCAAGTCGTTGCACCTGCTGTTGGGGGGGGGCTCACGTGGCTGCAGCTGCCCCCCTCCTCCTGTTCCAGGGTCATCCGCAGCCTGGGGTTTACTTTTCGAGCTCCCCCATCCCCTGGGACCCTGTTCCCTTGCCGAGTCTCCGGCTCTGAGAGTGCACCTGCCGCACCTGCCGTCTCCCTGAAGCCAGTGCGGCCGCCCTTGCCCTGGGGGCCTCTGCGCGGGCGGAGCCTCTTCCCGTGATGGGCGGAAGCACCAGAGTGCAGCGCTGTCCTGCTCCACTGGGCTCCAGCGCCCTGTGCAGGCGGGGCAGGGCCGGGCGGGGTGGGCGGGGCTGACCCTGGCCAAGCTCCTGACAGAGACCTGGCCCAGGTGGGCACCCTTGGGAGGACGTGGAGTTGAAGCCCCACAGCTGGTGTGAGGGCAGGTCATGTGTCCCTCTCAGTCCCGTCCCCTGCACCTCCCGCCCCTGGGTGAGGCATGGCGGGGGCCCAGGGAGAAGCTCTGGGGCTCGGGAGGAGGAGGGGCCAGTGGCCGAGGGCCGCCTGCTGACCGGCGCGCCCACACCCACGCCTGGGGCAGGTGGTGTATGAGGAGAGCCGCATGGTCCGCCTGACCGCCCCCTACGTGTCCGGCTTCCTGGCCTTCCGAGAGGCGCCCTTCCTGGTGGACGCGGTGCAGCGGCTGCGGGAGAAGCAGCCCGACCTCATGCCCCAGGCAGTGCCTGTCCCCAGGTGGGGAGGGCCCTCCGCTTCCCCCCACCCGGGAGGGGGCGGCCCCTACAGAGCACGTGAGCTTCCTGGAGGAGATGCAGGACCCTGGCTAAGGGGCGAGTGCTGCTCAGCTGACCATGACCCCCCTGTGGTCTGCAGGTCCTTCTCGTGGATGGGAACGGGGTGCTCCACCACCAAGGTAACCCCCCAGGACGGCCCCCTCACGCTGGCCCCGGAGCCTCTGCCTCCTGCCTGGGTTCGCTGTCACTGTCAGGACCCACGGTGCCCCCACCCCCGCCCCTGCTGCCCACAGGGCCTGCAGTGGCCGGTCTCCAGCTGCCCACCCAGAGCCGGCTGGTCAGGCCCTCATCCGTGACCTGGGCAGGGGCACCTGTGCCCTGTTCCCTGGGTCCCTCCCCAGATGATAACCAGGGCTGGGCCGACACCAAAGCCGGGGACCAGGGAGTCCATCTGGGCCTCCCACGTGGGAAACAGGAGCCATCACCGCTGCTGCCCAGGGTCTGAGTCAGCAGGAAGCCAGAACTGGGCGCTCGGACACTTGACGCGGTGACGCAGCTGGCGCATGGCCCACCAGGCCAGACGCCCGTGGCCGACGAGCTGATCCACTCTCACAGGCAAACCTAGGGGGGCAGCGTGGCCCTGCTGGCAGGCAGGTGTGGTCAGGGCCAGCCGCTGCCCTTGGACCCGCCGGCTGCTGGGACCATAGGCCTGCCGTCGGCACGGAAGGAGATCCAGTTCCAAAGAATAGAGCCCCAGGGGTGGCTGCCGGGGGTGAAGGGGGGCACGCCGATCTGGTTAGCCACCACCCCATACCCCATAGTCGGGACAGAGAGGCCTGGGTCTAGGAGTCTGGTCTCCACCCAGCTGCCCCCTCGGGAGACTCCGGGAGAGGCCCCGACGGCCCCTCATCCCGCACCTGTGTCCAGGCCTCCGGCCTCCTTGCTGCCGCCTCCCAGCCTCCCCTCCTCTGCCCCCGGCAGGCTTCGGGGTGGCCTGTCACCTTGGCGTCCTCACTGATCTGCCCTGCATTGGGGTGGCCAAGAAACTGCTGCAGGTGGACGGGCTGGAGAAAGACGCTGCCCACAAGGAGCAGGTGAGGGGGAGGGGTGGGGCCCTGGGGTGGACGGGGCCTGGAGCCCCTGGGGGTGTTGCTGTGCCCAGGGCTCACTGACCTCCTCAGCCCCCCCCCCCGCCTGTTTTCCAAGCTTTTCCCTGTCTCTTAGATTCAGCTCCTGCAAGCGGGGGGAGAGGCCTTCCCTCTGATTGGAGGCTCTGGGACGGTCCTGGGAATGGTGAGTGGCCGGTCAGAGAGGCAGCGGGGCTGGCGGCAGGCTCACGCGTGCACACCCCCCCATACATGCATGTGCACTGTGCACACACACGGGTGTGCACATGTATACACGTGTACACAGCGTGAGCGCAGGTGCACTCCCACATGCAGGCACACTTGCACATGCAGGCACACACGTGCACACACACGGGCGGGCACACGCCTACACACATGCACGCCACCAGCACACGCACTTGCACCTGCGCACACCAGAGCTGTCCATTCCTGCCAGGCTCCCTTGACCCCAGCTCACCTCAGAGGTCTCTGGGTCACCCTCCCTCCACCCTGCAGCAGGAGGGCCCGAGGCCTGGAAGCCCTGCCCTGACGTCCTCAGGCCCCCGCCAAACTCCAGTGCCCATCAGAGACTGGGCCCCTGAGGCTGCCGGCCCAGCGCAGCCCAGCCACCGGACGCGTCCCGCATGGGCCGTGACCCTCCCCTCTGTGCGCAGGCCCTGAGGAGCCACGACCGCAGCACCAAGCCGGTGTACGTCTCTGTGGGCCACAAGGTGAGCCTGGAGACGGCCGTGCGCCTGACCCGCCACTGCTGCAGATTCCGGGTCCCGGAGCCCGTGCGCCAGGTACGGGTGTCGTGGGGGCGTGGCCTGAGCCGGCACCTGCGGCTCGCCACCCGCCCTTCACCCACTCCCCATCACCCTGGGGGTTGGGGTGCAGTGGGGACAGAAGGATCTGGGTGGAGGACGCCCATGGGTGGCACCGAGTCAGGAGAGAGCCAGGGACGTGGCCCTGTGGGACCCGTGGAGCCTGTCCTGGGGCCTGTGCCCCGTGTGTAGCCCCACGGCCTCTCTGAGCCCCCTCCCGTGCCCTAACCCCATGTGGTTTGCAGAATCAGTTACGGTCAGCACGGGGGGGGGGGAGGGGGGAGCCACTGTCCTCGGGCGGGGGGTGGGTGCTGTCCTCGGGCGGGGGTGGGCGCTGTCCTTGGGCCGGGAGGGAGCTGCTGTCCTCGGCCCGGGGGGGGGGGCCTCTGTCCTCGGGCGGGGGGGGAGCCGCTGTCCTCAGGCTGGGGGGGAGTGAGCCACTGTCCTCGGGCTGGGGTGGGCCGCTGTCCTCGGGCGGGGGGAGCCGCTGTCCTCGGGCGGGGGGGAGCCGCTGTTCTTGGGCTCGGTGGGGAGGAGCCACTGTCCTGGGGGGAGCGCTATCCTCGGGCCGGGGGGGGGACGCTGTCCTGTGGGGGGCACTGTCCTGGGGCCGGGAGGCCCTTGCAGCGATGCTGTGGGCTCAGGACCAGCATGCGGGGTGCTCCAGGGGACGGGCGCAACAGGGCCCGAGGGTCAGCCCTCTGCTGAGTCAGCAGGGCAGGGGAGATAGAGCTGAGCGCAGGGGCCACAGCCTCCACGAGGGTCAGCAGCAGGGCAGCTGCAGGTCCAGGAGGAGGCCCACTGGGGGCGGGGCACGGTGGCCCAGGAAGTTTGGTGTGCTCGGGGGAGGTGTGGCCTGCGCCCAGGCAGCGGGTGGGACAAGTGGGTATGGCTGAGGTTGTCGGGTATTCCAGAGGCTCCCCTGAGGCCGGCTGGGTGGGCGAGCAGGTCTCCCTTGGTGCGTGCCCACGGCCTGAGCGGAGGCCGGCTCTGGGAGCCACATGGCCCAGGGCCCCCGACTCCAGTGCAGTGCCCAGGCCGGCCTGCAGGGGGCAGCTGCGGCCCGCACAGGACTCACAGGCCTCAGCGTGGGCTCCTCCGTCTGGCCCCTCCACGTCCACAGCTTAGCTGGAGCCGAGGGTGAGTGGCCCTCAGGCCTGTGAGGGTGTCCCCGGCCCCCAGGGGGCTTTTCCTCTTCCGCTGCAGCCCACCCGTGTGGACGGGGGAGGCAAGCAGGAGACGCCCGCTCCAGGCTCTCAGCCCACGGCCAACCCTGGTCCCCCGGGAGAAGAGCCCGTGGGCAGGCGGGGTGGGTGGGCTGCCGCACTGCGGCTGTGCTGTGGGCCCCGTCCAGCAGGCCCGGCTGTCCCTGCAAGGGCATCGTCCTCTTCTGACTGCTCTCCAGTTCCTCGGACAGTGAGGCCTGGGCCCCCACCCCTGTCACAGAGCCTGCCGTGCTCCTGCTGCCAGGCGGGTCGGGGGCTGCCCCCCAGAACACCCCTGCCCGCGCCCCTCCCCGTGCTGCTGGACGAGAGCCCCGTGGGGTGAGCTGTCCTGAGCCAGGGTCAGCGGCCCCAAGGCACAGTGCAGCCCCTCTGAGCCGGGCCGGGGGCCTCTGGGGCCAGGGCTGCAGGGCCCCCCGCTGCGGTAGAGCCCCGTTCCTTGTCCCACCTGCCGGGGTCCGTCCCTGTCCCTCCCTGCACTCCTCTTTGTTGTGGTAACTGCAGAGATGAGTTGGGGTTCCAGCTGGGGAGACAGTGAACCCTGAAGTGCAGTCTTCAGAGGGCTTTGGGGATAAAACTGCACAGCCGTGCGGTCCGGCTGCCGGGGTGGCCAGAGCCCCTGCTGGCCCATCCCTGGCTGACGGCTCGGGCCTGCACGCGCTGCCTCTGCAGGCCTCAACCCTGAGGCTCGGCTTTTAAAAAAAGGACAGAGGGGCGGGGGAGAGGCACAGAGAGAGGTCTTCCCTCTGCCGTTCACCCCTGCATGGCTGCAACAGGCGTGGCCGGGCCAGGCCAAAACCAGGAGCCCGGGACTGCATGCAGGTCTCCCTCGAGGGTACGGGGCCCAGGCACCAGGCCGTCTTCTGCTGGCTTCCCGGGTGCGTTAGCAGGAGCCGGGCCAGATGCAGAGCGGCTGGGGCTCGAACTGGCCCTGCGGCGTGGGTGAGACTCTCGGGCGGCAGCACCGCCGTGCCGGCCCACCCCGGGGGTCTTGGCAGCCCCCTCCCCAGTACGCTGACGAGGCTGCCGCTTCTGCTCCTGGGCCCCAGGCCCCGAGGGAGCCTGCAAGGGCACTGGGCATGGGCTGTTGTGCGCGGGAGGGCGTGTCCGGAGCCCAGCCCCGCCCCTCACTTGGGCCCCTTCTGTCTCCTGCAGGCCGACATCCGCTCCCGGGAGCATATCCGCAGGACCCTGGGCCCCCCCGGGATGCCTGCGCCTGCGCAGGGGAGGTGAGCACCTTGGGGCCCCGTGGACCCCATGTGGGGCGTTGGTGGGGGCGCCGCTTCCGGAAGCTGCTAGGAGACCCGGGGTCCTCGCGAGGGGAGGACGGCGGTGTGGACCCCACGTCTGACGGGAACGCTCTAGGAACAACCCTGTCACACACACACAGCCCTGGGGCCAGCCCATCTCCCCACAGGGCCTCTGAGCCTGCAGGGCGCCGGGTGGTGGGCGCCGAGTGGAGAGCGTGGCCTGAGGGGCTGCTGCGTGTTTTGTGCCCTCCCAGCCTCGGCTTCCTCTCTGCACCTGCAGCCACTGCGCTCTCAGCTCTCGTGCGGACTCAAGCCCCTAGCAGCCATGCGCAGGGGGGTCGGGGTGCAGGGCGTGACCCACTACACAGGGGGGTCGGGGTGCAGGGCGTGACCCACTGCACAGGGGGGTCGGGGTGTAGGTGTGACCCACTGCCCAGAGGGAGGTCGGGGTGCAGGGTGTGACCCACTGCCCAAAGGGAGGCTGGGGTGAAGGTGTGACCCACTGCCGGGAGGGGGAGAGGGGGTGCAGGGTGTGACCCACTGCCTGGAGGGAGGTCGGGGTGCAGGGTGTGACCCACTTCCCGGTGGGAGGTCGGGGTGCAGGGCGTGACCCACTGCCTGGAGTGGGGGAGTTCGGGGCGCAGGTGTGATCCACTGCCCGGAGGGGGGGGTGTCAGGGCGCAGGTGTGACCCTCTGCCCGGAGTGGGGGAGGTCGGGGCGCAGGTGTGACCCACTACCCGGAGGGGGGGGGCAGGTGTGATCCACTGCCCAGAGCGGGGGAGGTCAGGGCGCAGGTGTGACCCACTGCCCAGAGGGGGAGGGAGGTCGGGGGGCAGGTGTGACCCTCTTCCCGGAGGGGGGGGCAGGTGTGACCCTCTTCCCGGAGGGGGGGAGTTCGGGGCGCAGGTGTGATCCACTGCCCGGAGCGGGGGGGGGGGGGTCAGGGTGCAGGTGTGACCCACTGCCCGGAGTGGGGGAGGTCAGGGCGCAAGTATGACCCTCTGCCCGGAGTGGGGGAGGTTGGGGCGCAGGTGTGACCCTCTGCCCGGAGGGGGGGAGGTCGGGGTGCAGGGCGTGACCCACTGCCTGGAGGGAGGCTGGGGTGAAGGTGTGACCCACTGCTGGGAGGGGGAGGGGGGCTGTAGGGCATGACCCACTGCCCAGAGAGGGGGCAGGTGTGACCCTCTGCCTGGAGGTGGGGAGATTGGGGCGCAGGTGTGACCCACTGCCGGGGGGGGAGATTGGGGCGCAGGTGTGACCCACTGCCGGGGGGGGGAGATTGGGGCGCAGGTGTGACCCACTGCCGGGGGGGGGGAGATTGGGGCGCAGGTGTGACCCACTGCCCGGGTGGGGGAGGTCGGGGCGCAGGTGTGACCCTCTGCCCGGAGTGGGAGGGAGGCTGGGTGCAGTGAGTGGTGCAGGCTGTGCTTGGCGGGGCTCCGAGCCTCCGCACAGAGGGGGCTGCCTGGACCCTGCCTGGGTCTGTCCCGCCCTCCCCAGCACTGCCCACTCTTCTTGGCTCCTCGGCCGCCTGAGCTGCTGTCAGAGCTAGGAGGATGGGTGGCTGGGACCCCCGGGTTCCCAGCGTGGGGGCTGGCCAGCCTGACTGCAGGCCGGAGCCTCTGCCAGTCTCGTCCCGCCTGGCTGTCTGGCCCGGGCCCATCAGCGGGCCCCAGGGATCCAGACCCCAGGCAGCTTCCGGGGACCACCTGGAGCGGGGCCTCGGGCCGGCTCTGGCGTTGATGCTGCCCCTCTCTCAGTGTCACTGCACAGAGGCCACAGGCACATCCCGCAGGCAGCGCAGGAGAGCCTGTGGGGGAGGATGGCGCCCTGCGGACCACGGTGGAGGCCCCAGCACAGGCCTAGAGCTCCACCCCCAGGCCCCGGGAGTGGTGGAACTGGACGCCATGAAGACCCCGCCACCCCTCTCCGGTCTCAGGACAGTGCCCGGGGCTGGTCCCTGGGGACGGTGGGGGGCTGCCCTGTGCACAGGAGGCGCTCCCAGCCCCAGAGACGCTGACCACGCCGCCCCGGGGAAGCAGCAGGCACTGCCCGGCTCGTGGTGAGGTGGGGTGGGGTGGAGGAGCCGTGGCCACGGCGCCCCGGGCTGGGCCGGACCAGAAAGCAGGAGCGGCAGGGCCCCGAGCGGTGCGGGGGAGCCGGGGTCCGGTGCGTGGGTGGCCCGGCTGCCGGGACAGCATCGGCCTCTGCTCCACCGCACCTTGGACTGTGCCTCTGCGCGGGTTCACTCTTCTTGTTCTCTGTGGGGTTCATGCGTAAGCCAGACCCCCCGCCAGCCGCGCTGAGCCACCTCTGCCGCTGGGAGGGGTCCAGGCTGGGGCGGCCGCACTGGTCCGGCCCCCGTCCTGCTGTCCCACCCAGCCTGGCTGCTGAGCCGAGGCCCCGCCCCGGGCCCTGCTGCTGCCTGCTCCAGGCACACTTTGCCTCTCCGCACGCCAGAGCTGGGGGCTCACGGCGGGCGCCACCATCTGCCCGCCTGACTCCTTCCAGAGCTTTCCCACCCAGAGCTCCCTCAGGACCAGGGTGGGGGCGTGGGAAGTGCATGGCTGGCCCTGCACAGGGCTGGCGGGCTCTCCCGCCCCTGCCCACTGGCCTCTGGCGGGGCTCAGAGCTCCCTCCCGTGGGCGAGGCGTGGGAGGGGCTCGGCAGGGCGCTGGCCCCAGTGACACCTTGACGAAGGAGGCTGATCGCTTGCTGACGGCCCTCACGCTGCAAGGCCGAGCTGGCTCCCATGAGAAGGTCCCCCGAATTCGGGCTCCCCCGAATCCCCTCGGTGCCCGCCCCGTGCCAGCGGGAGAGCCGCCTGGGCCGGGTGCCCTGTGGCGTCCCCTCCCGAGGAGCAGGCCAGGGTGGTGGCGGTCCTGCAGCAGTGTCTGCGTGGCCGTTTTGAGCCAGAACTCAGCATTTCGGCCCCTTCAGAGCTTAGTGGCTGCGCCGTCTCAGGCAGCCATGCCTGCTGCCCCCGGGAACCCTGCACCCGTCGACAGGTGCTCCCACGGTCTCTTCCCTGTGGACCCTCTCCCCGCCTCTGGCCCGGCCGTTCCAGGGACTCCTCAGTGGGCCTGGGGCGGGGCTGGTGTTTGTGGCACTGTTTCCCTCCTCCATCCATCGGCTGGTCCTGCTTGGTCGGTGTCCTTCCGTGGCTGCTGGCCGTTTGGGTGCTCGGAGCGCTCCCTTGGGTTTGTGTGTAGAGGGAGTTTCTGGGCCACACATCGACTGTTTCTCTCTGTAGGAAACCCTAACCATTGTACACGTGTATCCTGGGAGAGCTCTGCTCGGGTCCTGATTGGGCTGCTCTCTGTGGCTGTGTTCGAGAGTCCTGTGTTCTGGGGATTCGATCCTTACCAGTTACATGGTTTACAAACACCTTCTCCCGTGGTTTGTGTTTTCATTTTTAAAAAAGCTCTGTTTATTTATTCAAAAGATAGAGTTACAGAGAGGCAGAGAGAGGTCTTCCATCTACTGGTTCACTCCCCAAACGGCCACAATGGGGCTGGGCCAGGCCAAAGCCAGGAGCCAGGAGCTCCTTCCAGGTCTCCCACGTGGGTGCAGGGGCCCCAGCACTTGGCCCATCCTCTGCTGCTTTCCCAGGCCACAGCAGGGAGCTGGATTGGACGTGGAGCAGCGGGGATGTGAACCGGTGCCGATCTGAGATGCTGGTGCTGCAGGCGGCGGCTTTACCTGCTACACCGCAGCTGGCCGCTTGTGCTTTCCTTGTGGAAGAGCAGACAGTGAGCGGCCAGCTCTGGCGAGGGCCCCTGCCTGCGTCGCACCCTGGCGATGGCCTCCTGCGTGGTACACGGTGAGACGAAACCGGAGTCAGGCGTCCAGCAGCCCCTCCAGCCCTCAGTTCCTTCCAGGGCAGCGCCCCAGGGGCCTCCCTCTGGACCCACCTCCTCGTCACCCTGCACACCCGGCACTCCCGGCCCCCACACAGCAATCCTTGGAGGCACACGTGGCTCCTCCCCCGGACCGCACGGGTCCAGCAGCATCCCATTCCGCCTCCCTGTGGCCCGGGCAGCATCGCAAAACCCAGCTGACGGCCGCTGATGCCTGGACTGTGAATTCCGTTGCCTGGGTCTTTGTGCCAGCGCCACACCACGCCGGGTGCCGTGATGTGTAAACCCAGGGGTGTCTGATGCTATTGTGGGGAGCTGAGTAACTCAGGGTGTAGAAAGACAGCAGACTCCTTAAAGATGGTTTTATTGAAAGTTGAAGTTAGAGGGAGAAACAGATCTTCCATTCCCCAGATGGCTGCAACGGCCAGCGCCAGGCCAGACCAAAGCCAGGAGCTTCCTCCAGGTCTCCCGCGCGGGTGCAGAGCCCAAGGACTTGGGCATCTTCCGCTGCTTTCCCAGGCCACAGCAGAGAGCTGGATCAGAAGTGGAGCAGCTGGGACACAAACGGTGTCCATATGGGATGTTGGCGCTGCAGGTGGCGGCTCTACCGGCTACGCCACTGCGCCGGCCCTTACTACTAAGCCCCGTATCCTGCAACCCTGCTGTGCTGTTAGCTCTAGTGTGTGTGTGTGGGGGGGGGGGGGCTCTGTGAGGTCACGTCTCGTGCAGACACAGAGCTTTACTTGTGCGTCTTCCTTTCCAATGTGAATGCCTGTTTTCTTGCCTGATTGCTCTGCGAGGCTCTGGGCCACGGGCACAGTGGTGACGTTGCCATCCTGGTGTCCTGCTGTCCGTCAGGCTCCGGCACTTCCCGCCCACCCCTTCATCCTGACAGCGCTGGGTCTGGTCAGGTGGGCTTTCTGATGTCCCCCTTCCCTGAGGGGCGCTCGGCCATTGGTCTCACACTTCTGAAGCTCTCAGCTCAACCATGATGTCACACCCGTCTACACTGCCCAATGTGGATCGCTGACCCTGGCCCAGGCCACAGAGCCAGGATTCAGGTCAGGCCCCGCCCACACCTGCCATCCGCGCTCCTCACAGACCTGGCGGACACCGGCGACGCCTACCAAGTCCGGGGTGAGGCACAGTGTGACTAGGGGCGTGGGGGGAGAGCTTAGAAATGGCAGAGCCCCCCGGCCCTTTCCCCAGGGCAGCCGGAGGGACCCAGGGCAGGGGGGAGGGACCCCAGCTCCCCACCCCTTCCCTCAGCCCCTCCCCAGTCGCGGGTGGCCACTCCGGGGCAGGCGGCCGAGACCCCCGCCCGCTCCCTGGCGCTGGGGGCCTGAGTGCCGAGGCGTCTCTGTTCTTCCCACAGAGCCTTAAAAATAGGGCCGAGTGACGTCCGTCCGCGCAGACCACAGCCCGCGCCCCGAGCTAAGAATATTCCTGAACCTCTTAATAATTCAAGTCAGACCCAAATAGATCTGCGGGCTCACCTGTGGGCCCCCTGCCCCTCCCGGCCCGTGCCAACAGGGCCGGAGGAGCTGGGTGGCCTGGCCTCGGCCTCATCAGGCCCCCTGGGTGCTGCCCAACCAGCCGGGACCCCAGCCTGTCCTCCCACCACCATGGCAGCTTCCAACAGCACAGGACCCAGGGCGGGAGGGGCCCTGCCTGAACAACCTGGAGCCCCGCCCGCTCCTGGCGCCCCAACCCCACCTCCTCGGGAAAGCCCAGACGTCCTGCCTCCTGCTCAGAGGCCCCGAGGCCTTGGCCTGGGGCTCTGTGTCCTGCAGCAGGCGCTGGGGCCAGGCCATGTCCTCTGGGCACCTGTGTGTGCGCCTCGGGCCCTCAGTGGCACTGCCCGGGCCTTTGAGGCGGCAGGCAGTGCGTGGCTGGAGCCCCCAGGCCCGGCCCCTCCCCGCAGGGGCGGGGCCCCAGTGCGCGCACCCCTCAGGTAAGGCGCCGGGGGCTCCCAGGCAACGCGGGGGGTGGGGGTGGGGAGCAGGGGTCCCAGCAGCCCCTGCAGCAGTGCCCCGAGCAGGCCCTGCATGGACTTTTACCGAATTATTAATTAAAGGCAAAGGCAGGGCGGCGCTGACAGCCAAATGAATCGCACGCGGGGTAATTAGGCGAGGTGTCGGGAGATGATGGAGCGCGGGCCGCTATCCCCGGCTCACCTCCCGGGAAGCAGGAGCGCCTTCTCCCGGTGCCCGCAGCGTGGGCGGCGGCGGCGGCGGCGGCGGCAGCGGCTGCAGCGGGGGCGGGGGCAGGGACAGGAGCGCTGCAGGGGCCACCCCACCCCCTGCTGCGCAGGCTCTGGACCCCTCCCCTTCCCTCCCGCGAGGGGATTCGATGGGGCAGGGGCAGAGGCGGGTGGGAGGCAGAGGGAGGGAGCAGGAGGGTCCGCACAGGTAGGGGAACAACTCAGGACCCGCCATGGGGGGCGGGGTGCAAGGGGGGGACTCCAGGCAGAGAGGCCGCAGCCCCGGGCCCTTCCCAGACCTGCAGGCTTCGGTTTTTCATTACTTGCTGCCCTGTATCAAAGCCGCAGGTGTCCAGGCTGGGAGTGGTCACGTGACCTCGGGCAGCCCCGCCCTCGCGGGGGGCCCAGGGCAGTGGTGGCCGCAGAGGCGAGGCCTGATGCTCTGGGCTTGTGCTCGCACACCTGGCCCACACGTGCGCGCGCTCATGCTCTGGTCACCGTTGAATCAGACCTGTGTGTGTCCCCAGCGCCTCGCACACACGCGTCCCCACCGAACAATGAATTCTCCCCCCACTTCTTTCCTGGCGCGACCGCTCGCTTTTCCTGAACTCAGTAACGGCCTCGTTTTGTTTACCTGCGTGTTGGTTACTTACTCATCCTGGCGCTGAGCACTGGGGGGTGAATCTGCTGTAAGAGTAGGAGCCGCAGGCCCCGCCCCGGACCCTCTGAGCTCAGCCTCCGCCCACCTCCGTGAACTTGTGCAGTCGCCCTGGGTGCAGGACCAGGAGGGTCAGGGTTGGGCCACAGCAGCGGGCCGTGTCACTTCTGGGGCCAGGCCATAGCATATTGTGGGGGGCGGTGCTCCCTCTCTTTCCCAACCCACTCCCCCCATAGGGAAGTCAGCTGTGCCATGGCATAGGCGCTCAGAGACGGGACCACATGCCAGGACCAGAAGCCTCCTGCCGTGAGCCGTGCCCTGCTCAAGCCTCCAGAAGCCCGCAGCCCCGGCCGTCACCTTGTTGGTAGCTCACGAGACCCCGAGTCAGAACCACTGGGCCAGTCTGCGTCCAGACCACCCCCACCCCACCCCACCCCACCCCCCGCAGAGCCTGGGCAAGACAGCGCATCTTCATTCGGGGGTAATTTGCTATGAAGCCACGGATCGCTGGCTGCGGCACTCATGGACTCCAGTCTGGGTTGCCCGGTACACCTGCCGCCGCCTCTATCCCCAGGGTCTCTCCTTCACCCTGGGAGTCTCCGGCTCCTGTACTGAAGCCCCCTCCTTTGCGGGCCCATGCTCGCCTGCCTGCTTTAACCAAGGGCTTCCAGAGAGAAGAACTAGAAGTCAGCGCTCTCAGCAGGAAGATCAGGGAAACTGGTGATTTTTTTTAACTGCCCACGAGAGTCCTTGTCTCGGTTTTTTGTTTTGTTTTAGTTTCTAAGGCGCACAGACACCATGCTCTGAGCTGTCAGGTGTCCACGAGTGAATCCCAGCTGCCCAGGGATCCGCCTGTTCCTCCTGGGAGAGCGCGAGTGTGGGAGGTGGCTGCCGCTGTCCTCGGTGCTGAAGCCAAGGCTGGTGGGCCTCGGCCTGCGGGTCCCAAGGCGGCTGTGGGAGACCCTCCAGCCTCTCTCCACCTCTGCCTGCTCCCTGACTCAGCCTGGGGTGTGGAGCCAGGAGACCCCGAGGGACGGCCACCAGGCCTTCCTCAAGACCACCCCCTCCAGCCCTGCTCCTGGTGCTGGCCCTCTCCCCAGGGGGCTCTGCAGATGGCATGAGCCTGGGTAGCAGTGTGCAGGTCTGAGATCTCTCCAGGTTACACACGCAGGAACCAACTCCAAGCAAAAGCGAGGCCCTGTGAGTTCACCCCAGGGCGGAGCTGGCCCTCCGCGGCCCGCCACATGGAGCGGCTGACCCTCCACCAGGCCTGACCCTGGTGTGGGCTCTGTGGCTGCATTCCCAGGGTCACTTGCTCTCGCACTCAAGCCCACCTTGGCCAGCTGGTTTGAGTCACAGGCCTTCCCCGAGTGTCACCGGGGCCTCCGCCCCCTGGCGGGAGGGGTCTCAGTGGAAACTCCAAGCACTCCCTAGAAGAAGGTGCACCTGTCTGGGGAAACTGAGGCTGGGGGCCTTCTGCAGAAAGGGGAGTGTCGCCAGGGCTCCAGGGGGGTGGTCTCTTCCCACCAGCGCCCGTCTTATCTCCGGGTAATTCTCTTCCAGTGCCAGCAGGGACCGTGTGACTCAGGCTCCATTATTAACCTGCCAATCTTGTTTCTGGGGCACAGACGCTAACAGCTTAGGGGACCCACTTGGCATATAACGAGGTCT